GGTGCACCACGTGGAGGTAAGTCTATCACACACCCCAGAAGCATGGAAATAATAATCCGTTAAGGTAAAAGGAGTAGATCATTTTAAAACCAACACGCAGAATATCGACCAAATAAAAATCTGTTTCAATTATGAACTTAATTCTCTAAGCCATATAAGCATACGACACAACACCTCATGCTCCATGTTTCTTGAGACAATATGCTTCTAAGACTGAAAAAAATAGAACAAAATAGAAAATACAAAAAAACATACATTACTATCACATGACAGTAGATATTTACACAAAATCTATTCAATCTGAGAGAGGTCAAATTTCACGGGCAAACATCTCAATGATTCCAACTCTAACAACACAATTGTGAAGGTGACATCAAAACGAGGAACTGATAGTAATAGAGCTCCTTCTTTATCACTGCTGCCTGTCTTTAAAGAAGCACGACGGAAACCAGCCATCGGTTGATTTCCAGCAGCAAAGATGTCTGGATAATCTGCACAACTGCCTGTATCCGGATCCGTATGAAGGAGAAGAGAATCGGATTCCGTTTGTGGATATGAGAAAATTGTATCTGGGCAGGTTGGAGCCAAGTGACCCCATTGAAGTATTGACTCCATACAGTCGAGTACGTCACCACTTGAGGTGTACCTAACAAAATACACACATATATGTACCAGTAGTTTACTCAAATAAAATGCACACCAAGAAAATATTCAACCCACTTGTAAACATCAGAAATATTCTGACCTGAGGAGGTTAAAATCGTTCTTGCAAACACCTCAGTGATACAGGGATTCGTGGTACTAATAAGAGCATCTTCTCCCTTACCAAACCGGCCCACGGTTTTGGGAAAAAGGAGAGAATGGAAAGGCTGCTGTGGCAACAACTGGGAGACACAATCAGATACACCTGGTTGGAGTTGAACGGTAAATCCATCTCCCAAAGGCAGGTCAGAAAGCCAGGTATCAAGAGCAGACATGGCTAAAACCGAATCTGCGTCCGTTTTGCGAGTGAGAAAGCGAGCTTGCTGAATAACTCCGAGAGTTTCCAAACCACCAGCAGCACTTGCACGAATGCAATCTCCAAGAACAAACAGCCTACTCAATTTATTCTCTCTCAAGAAATCCCCGAGAAGACTCAAAGCAAGTTCGTGACCATGACAACCACCGTCGGCTGATGCAGTGAAACCAAGACCGGAGACAAAGCCAACCCAAAAACCTGTGTCAAAACTAGGGTGTGAGGCACCCACAAAATTGACCCCTGAAATAGATTTCTGCGGTTGTGGTTCAATAAAAGTAGCTTCTTTAACTATGAATGATCCTAGTGACTTGGATGGTTGAACACCCATAATACAGGCCACAACGCCAGTTGTAAGACGTCCGGCTAGATCTTGAGATTGGATGTCAAGACTAATGCGCTGAACCTCATCTTCCAAAAAAAATTCGTCCTCGAGGCCAGCCAAGCGTGATGAAAGACTCTGTTGATTATTTTGGGATTCCAATAAAAGTTGACTTCCAATCTGCTCCATCTGTGCTAGTTGTTTGATAATGCTTGGTTTTTGGGGGCATGACTAGAAAAAGATACAGGAAAATAAGTATCCATAACCCAGTAAAAAAAGATAAATTTTAAACAAACAGCTAACTCTAAAGATCGTGCCAATGATTATGCATTCTTCATCAGGCTCAACATCCGCTAATGACCGGACAGCAAGATTTGGATAGCGATTCGAAGCCAACTTTAATAATCGAGATTTTGAAGACTTTAAACGAGCGAGATAAATGCCTGCGAATTGAGATTGAAATAGACAGCTTCCCAAAGGAATGTGAAATCTCTCCCTACGGACAGACGACACAGAGATTGCCATTCTAAAGATTTAAATGGAAAAATAAAAATAAAGAGGGCAAAAATTTAAAAAAATATAGCATATTTGCAATAAATATAATTAACAGAAATAATACAAAAATTCTCGTCACATACGAAAATTTATATTCCGAAAAAACAGATATGCGAAACACCGCCACCAAAGTTAGTCGATAAAACATGCATTTTCAATGACTTATTTGAACAATTTTTAAATTTAATCATGCAGTGAAATAAAATTTATTATCATTTGCATTAAAAATATAAGATTCACCATATGATTATTTTCATATTTTAATTATTTCCTTTTACTGTAACTACACCTGACTATATATATCTATATATATATATATATTCTTGGGTAGGTCAAATAGACATTGCTAATCTTATTGATCAGAGGTTATAAATCCTACATCTTTTAGCTTTCGTAGTTTATTATCAATTTTGATACAATGTTATTGAAATACTCTCATTTACCATTTCGGGGCTGCATTTGTCCACACATTATTTCTGGAAATCATGACTGCCGAAATTTGTCAAATTTATAGCAGTCAAGTATTAGGATATTCAGTGACAGTAGGCAATACCAAATTTTACTGCATTTAAGATTATGTGTATCGATATAATTGCGTTTCCCTAGAAAATATTCTTTATAATACCTTGCAAAGATATCATTGTATCTTCATTGAGGAGTGGTAGCATATCAACTGACCCTGAACGGAATGCTATTTCAAAAAATTCAAACCATTCGTTCCATTTTGTGATACTTCGTTTAGGTATAATATTAACAATGAAAATTTATAACCTTTTAGTTCAGGGATGAATATGATCATAGTCTCCACTCAGCGTTTTGTGTCTAAGACGGGAACGCCGCTCTTGAAACGCTATAAGAACCTATTTTACTTCACGCATTTAAATTCATACCGACGATTGCGATGCTGCCTTAGTGTTCCTTGGTGCTGTCCAAGAACAAGATTATGTGATCCTTCTTATTTTTTCCTTGTTTGCACTTTCACCAGGTACTAACTCATTATTTGACATAATTTGCACTAAGATTTTTCAGTTATCCATTTAAAATCTAAAAGAGTTTTCTCAAAATTGGCATAACCCATGAATACTTTACAGAGTACATAAAATACCGATCAATATCCTTGACAGAACTGAACATATAATAAATGACAATAGGAAGGAGAAAAAGGTAGTTTCAAAGGCCAAAGGCCGATGCTACTATAAGTAGGAATAAATTAAGGACTGGAGACGAAAAGCAAAAGAGAGAATCATAAGTAACAAGATTGCGATAAGTATCCATTAGAAGACAACCCCAATGTTCATTTGCCAATACATAGATTCTTACCCAGAAAACTAAATTACACATATCCATAGACTCTGCACAGAAAAATTAATCTATTGACTAAAAATAGTGTTTCTTCCTTATAAATTTCTTACTATTTTTTCAACACGAGTGACTCAGTTTATTCTATTCCTAAATTTTCTTCTTTCTAGTTCCTTTTAAGTTTACTTAATATTAATTTATATAACACTTTATGAAAAGTTTACACAAACTGGCGAATAGCGGAAACAAAATTACGTTAAAAGTAATTCTGAGATGAAGAATAAGTGTATTCTCTAGGGCACTTTGTGTGCAACATATTGGCCATACAAAAATTAATTTTCCCTTCGTATCTTCTTGTTCTTCTGTTAATAACTTCCTTGAGTTAAATTCAGTTTCTTCTCTCATCCTGCCGTTAGAGTTTGTTGCATTGCTTTCTTTGTTTCTGATCCCATAGGTAAAAAAAGGCCATTTAGACTACCAAAAAATAAGCGAATAATCTAAAATTTAAAGGAAGGGAGGGAAGAATCAATGTTGATTTCGAGATTGCATATTTTTAAATAAAAATTCAGTATATAATATATTTTATAAGAGAAGCGAATATTTATTACTTTTATTTTAAAAAATACTTACACATTTACTTCCAATGTGTTTTCGTTGCCATTGGAAACGTGTCATTTTTAAGCCATATGATTCCTAGTTGAGGCAATTTCGGTACTTAATATTAAGTAAATATTTCACGAAAGTTTTGTTCCATGTTAATGGCTTTTTACTGTTAAGCACAAAACCTGTTGTAAGCACTTTGCAGTTTTATATCAACTTTAATTATCTCTAATTATGTTATTTAATATTTTGATCTACATTTTCTATTTTTTCCATGAGCTTATTCCTTTCTTCTTTGCATACTTAACGTGATGCTTATCGAATAAAAATCCAAAAAATGTTTTAGACGAAAATTCTATTAAATAATGGTTTTTGTCTTGAAAACGCTGGGAAAAGTTTAAACTTACTTTTCGTATCTCCAACGAAACTTTTATTACGATTTCTGATTTGATTTTCTTATAATATAAGTATGCTTGATAGGTAATATTAACATTATTGTTATTATTATTTTCTTTACTGAGAAGTAATTGTAATTTAACCGTTCATCTTTAATACAGTATTGGTTCAAAGCTTATGCTTGATTTCCCAATATGTTTCTTTTTATTTTACATTCCTTTATGGTATATCACAAAAGAATCCCCCTCACTGTCAGTTAACTTCTTCCAGAATTACCTAAAAATACTCTCAAGACATTAGGCAGTCCAAGTCTAAGTTGAATAAAGACATTAGATTTGAAAACGAATGTGTCTATACTTAGGCGCCACGATATGATGAGACAGTTCCGTTCCACTTATAATATGAATGGACCACTACTTCTGTTTTTAAATATACTTTGTAATTAGCTTTTATACTTACCTTTCTAATCAGGTTAATATCTTTGACTGGAGAATCGGTGGGGCGTTGGGAAGGGGGAATGAAAAGTGGAACGGTATTGACGAGGTGCAACATATCAATGGGAGGGGCATGTGCAAATTGCGTGAGCAGAAAATTGTTGACTTGAGTTGGTGGCTGTTTGACTGCTTGTTTTTTTATGCATCGGTAGTTTATCCTTACTGTGGCAGCTCCACACACAGTGCTTTCCGATTGCCTTGACTTGTCTATTGGAACGGATGACATTGGTAATGTTGTATTATGCACTAGGACGCTTCATTATTCAATACGCGAGATTGTAAAACTGCGGTTTTAGAACGTTGAGCTCCATATTATGGAGTTCCAAAGGTTGTGATGAATTTTGAAAAGGTTTTTTTCCCTTTGTGAGCCTTGGTTAACATATATATTCTGGAAGCTTTTTTTATAGTATAGTCTTGCAATAGGTTAACGAAAATTAATCAAGAGCTTATTTGTATGTTATTCTGCAATTACTAATAAGGCTAAACTCTTTAGAATTTTTTTGGTGTTAGATCAATCCATGCTTCAAAATTTGGGCCGACCTGTGAGTGCCAAGACCACTCTTCCTCCTGGTATTGCCGGTCCACCATGTGCATATCTTCTTCTTCAAGTTCCTTTGTTCCGTAGTACAACTCGTCGACCTTTGGCTTTACTCAAATGTCTGGCTGTTCGGATTGTGTGGTGGGGTGAAGACATATCTGATCCGCAGAGCGGTAATAATGGAACACTTCTACATCCTCGAATTGCTGGCCATCAAAATGCCTCTCAGTTTCAATATGGCTATCACACACGTTATTCAATTTGTGTTCCTCTACAAAAAATGCAAAACTACTTGGAAGGTGCGTAAGTTGATGACGGGTCACAATTATTCTTGAAAATGGTCTCTTTTTTTGGAAGTATTATTTCATTCCTAAATAATTGCGTAACTTTTAAATCTTGAATTTCTTAAAAGTATTAGCTTATTGGTAATAGTTACAGCAAAATAGTTTGAATGCGTTTATGGAATCAGGCATGCAGACCTACGTTTATATTTGTGATTGTTAAATCAAAAAGCCTCTTTATTCTTTCTCAAATCCTTTTAAAAGTTTTTTTTCTAGTAATTTTTTATTTGTTTGGATCCTCCTGGGATTTTTGGTAGATGCCTTAGTAAAGTCTTCGTTTTGATCTATCACTTAGAAGACGTGGTTCAAATTGACATCTCTTCGTAGCAGAGGCTTTCGAAAAATAAATTACCTTAATTGATGCGACTAACTAAGTTCCTATTCTTCCTCTTTTCGACGAAACTCTTCACATTATGTAGGGTATGTTACTTTCCGAGAATCTAATCGTCCAATAGCTAGATTTCTTATTAGTTTTTGTGAATTTAAATCTTCAAATTAGTTTTAGTTTTAATAATATTAGCCTTAGAGTAAATTCAACAGTCATTGGCAGCGGAGTTCTGATAGTGTCTACATACTGCTCCACCTGTGACGACTTATATTTGAAATTTGAAATGACAAGCTTTAGGGTAGCTATCATTAGTCCCTTAGTTGACTTCGTTCTTCACAGAGGAGGAATGGGGGACATCAAAGTCACAAGAAGTCGCGAGGGAAAACGGAAGAATGATTCACAGATGTAAGTTAGAGGCAGGTACAAAGGTAGGGAAATGGTAAAGTGAGTACTGGGGTAGTGGTCGAATATGGCATACAGTGGGGTCATGGTAGTTTGAAGTCAAAAGTCAACTGCCGGTTTATAGACTACTTTACCGTTTGAGTAAATTCTGCCCAGGGTGCCCCACGCGAAGATAAGTCTATAGTCCACCCTATATTTGAAATATGATTATCAAGGAAAAGTTACCTAGTCGTCTATAAGTCAATGTCGTTCCAAACTGAAGATGATATACTTCTTAATATCCAAAGGAGGCCAGAGTGGATATATCAAGTTTGGTCTCATCGAAAGCCACATTTCAGTCATGCTTAAAAATGAATGTAAAAAGGTATATCATTAGACCTATCAATATTAAACAAAAAGTCCGAGTCTAAGGTTAATTGTAATTTTGTTTAATAGTTTGTTTGTTTTTGTTCTCAATTTTAGACATGGGAACACTTTTTCTTGATGTAATTAACGAAAAGACTGGTGCTATAATAGGTCGTGCGAAAATCGAGAATCTGGCTCGTTTAACACTCCAAACTCCCATCAGAGGGTAAGTTCTTCCCCTCTTCTAATAAAATGACTTTATCGTAGTGTTTTTGCTGTTGCTGATGCCAAAGGCGTTAAGATTGGTGAGCTGACGGTCAATATGTATTTTGAGTTGATTCAAGGTGAGCTCTATTGCTCCAAAACTACTTTTTTATTGTAATTAATATAGAGAAGGCGTTCTTTATTTATTTGCATTTCAGTCATCGAGTCTGTGAAAATATCAAAGAAGAATGTGGTTTTGCCAACACTCATGGGAGATTCTATTGAACAACAGGAAGTTGAACCACTCGATCATGATAGGAAATGTACAGAAGTAAGTGATGGCTATTATTGATCCGTTTAAGCAAATAACTAAAAAGACAATCATACTCGCATTAACAAGTGGATGGAATATAGATTTTAAGGAAAGTCAACAAACCTGCACATTTACATGTACAAATTTCACAAATTTGATATTTATTAAACGCTGAGTGACATATGACAATTGGTGAAATTATGCCAAGCAAAATGTCCCATTACATTAGACATAAATTGTAATTGAGACATGAATTGGATGAACGTAAAAGGTAATCTTAATCTACATCGCCCAAGTGTAAAGCACTATAATCTCCTCTAGGTGAGCTGCTTAGATCTTGTCAATTTAATTGAGTGCCTAATTTTGATGCCGCAATTTAGTGATGTCAAGGGGAGGGGGGTGGGCCAATAGGGGTTGATTTGTTAGTCCAAATCGATTTGAGATAAAATGAAATTTTGTCAAGCATGTCTTTGACACCTTTTAAATTAAAATTGGATTCCGGAAATTTTGGAGAAATTGTTTAAGTTAATTAGAAAAAAATAAGATTTTAGTAAAATATTTAGTTATACCAAATGACAGGCGTTTTGATAGTTATCATTAGCCCTTTAGTTGACTTTAGGTTTCACAGAGGAGAAGGAATATCAAAGTGAAAAAGTTGAGAGTAAAGGAAGAGAAGTGGGTATCATAGATGCAAAAGCGGCAGACAGACACAAAGGCAGGGAAAAGGTAAGATGAGTACTGTGGTAGGGGTCGAAGATGACATACAGTCGGGTCATGGTAGTTTGAAGTGAAAAGCCAACTGTCGGTTAATAGCCTTTTTGTCGTATGAGTATACGTAGCCCAGGGTGCACCACGTGAAGGTTAGTCTATCGCACACCCCAATTGAGTAAAAATATTTATGGCAAGAAATACATTGTCCATCTTAGAATAACTTTCATGATTGTCAAGTAACTGGAGGCAAGAGGAAATGAAAACTTGGAATTGGGTTTGGAGATCGTAAATCGTGTTCTAATCAGTGCCTAGAGAATCTTACCATATAGGCGTTAAGAAAAGAATAATAGACCACTATATTATTTCAAACATTTAACTCCCTTAATTACAGTTGCCACTGGAAGATATGGTTTCAAAAGCACCGATTATTGATAGGTCAAAAGCGACAGACAAAAAATACGAAAAACCTGAAAGAGACGAATCTTTTCAAAAGAAACCTTCCACGGAAGATGCGGGCTCTTGTCTCAGTATGGAAGTGCTCTCTCGAATTCAATCAGCCCTTGAAAGGAGTCAGCGAATTCGCCAACAGCTTTTCTCGGCAATTAATATGGAACAGGGGACGGTGAATGATAACAAAGGTCTTCCCGTTTATCAATCAAAGTGAGCTTGGAAATTTTTCCAACTTAAATTCATCTACTTATCGGCTTGGTGCAAGTCTTTTGATTAAATTTTTAATTGAATTGACTAAATAATTTCACATATAATTATATATTTACTCTTTTCTCCTACTGCCTATTTTAGACTGTTTGAGACGGAAATCCTCCCACCTAATGGGGGACATGTTCAGTCTGTACCTGATCTTGCTACTCAAACTGCGACCAACGTTGAAAACGCTATGCCCATTCCATACCTGTCAGAGAGTTATCCTTGCTTGTTAGATAGCGTTGATAGCCAAAGTTTACTCGATAACAAAGACGGTGTTCCAACTGTTGAAGATGATGAAGATTTGGAAAAGGATTTGATTATTGAAACCACCCTCCTTCCTCGAATTGTAGGTTCTCTTTACCTGTTCAATGATTAAATTTACGTTTGCCCAAGGTTATTGTCTGATCAAACATAAATTCATTTTTTAATTATGTCAAAATTCAAGAGATTGAAATCATGCAACTAAGGTGATGCAATCTGGGTTAAAATTCAACAAACTGATGTTTCATAGTTGTTAGCTTGTTAGTGTTAAGGTAATCGAATTATTAATTTATTTCAACTAAGACGATTTAACTAATATTGGACACTCTGTTCCCAAAATAATCAATCTGTGAGTAAAGACAAGTAAGGGAACCTGCTAATATTCTTAGCTCTCAGAACTAACCCCAACTATTTCAACCTCAATTGTTCTATTTTTAGATAAAGAACTAGTGGTATTTGGGATATGTGGTTAGTTCTGAATGAAAGCGTGTCTATGCTTCATTCCTACTAACATTCAAGGTTGTAGACATCTTTTAGCAAGAAAAATAATGATGCAAAGGGAAAGATCGTTATTTTTTAATTCTTAATACTTTTGTGTTAGGAATTAGGGGCAACAAAATTTCCTTAGAAACATTTGCCATCAATTTTTTAGGAGGATGTGCCTCAAGGGGAAGAAAAGACGAATGTCTCTGGTAAAGTTCCCGGTCAACTTTCAGAGGGAAAAGTTTTGTTAGAGTGGCCTAATATTGAGCACAAATCCTCCATGGACCATCTAGTTAATACAGAGCCATATTGTGAGTTTTGAAAACCTACTTTTATTTGTTAATAGTGTTTACACAGAATTAATTGAAGAGTCCCATTTCAGTTCCTCATAATGCTCCAGTGGGTATTCGACTGGATTTTCGTCGATTGACCTTCCCAATGCAAATTTGGAATGCCCTTGAAGCTCTTCTCACAGCGTTTGCATCTCGATCCGAAAGAACAAATCTATTATCTCCTGAAGGTTGGTTAATGCCTTTTACTTCAACATTCTCCCCTGTTGTTTAGATCCCCAAGATGGAAGAAATTTAAAACGCCTACAGGATTCTGGACTAGGAGTATCGATGCATTCCAAATCTAATAGAAATAAAACTGCCTTCAGAAAGCGATCCTTGGATCCATCCCCTAATATGTATGCCGATTTCTTCTCATGCGTCTGGTTTTAGGAATTTTGTTAATATTGCCAATTCTAAGCCTCTGGATCTTTATCTTGAAATTTCGGTTCCTTCTTTTCTTGTAAACAAAGGATCAAGTATAGATTCTTCAATTTGGCGCAAAAGGATTAATCTCTGTTCTAAATTATCTAAAATTACTACAACAGATCAAAATCCTAGACAGATGTCTGAAGATTTGGAAGTATTTGTTATTCCAGAAAGGGATTCGTTCAGTAATCAAATTGACATTTCAGTAAACAGCCCGAGCGATAGCCAGAATGCTCTGATCCACTTGAATCTTTTATCTAACCCTTTATCCCTGACTGGTACAACAATGCCTATAGTAGGTTCATTTTGTTTTTTTGCTCTTTTATTCTATTTTTGATGGACTATCTATTTACCACTTAATTCGCAGCACATTGGTACCATTGAAATTGATCCGGGGTCATTGATTTGGGCAATGTATCGATCTCCTAATTCTAGTCTTTTGAGTTCTTCAACGCCTTCATCGAAAACGCTTCGTATACGAATAGAATTTGCTGATCTCGTGAAATATCGCTTAATGGAGTTGCTTGGCGTGGAATCTCTTGAAACTTCATTAAACAAATCCTTTGGATTTATCAATGTCGAGCCTGTTTTCAATGCACCATTTACATCAGTAAGTTATGAATTTTGGGGCATAAAATATTACTTTCTGTTCTGTAGAGTTCTAAACAGGTGTTTATCATGCAAATGTTCTTTATTATGAATAAATTATTATTATAATATAGGCTTTTTATAAATGTTTTGTGAAAAGGAGCTATTTTTCTGGCTTACCAAATTAGGAATTATTTTTGATTTAAATTCAAATCCATTTCACTAAATGTAATTCATTAAGTCTTTGAACATATGAGAAAATGTCAAAAGTGACCTACTTTTAATTAATAGAAGTTTGATTGAAATTAATCATTGGAAGAAAAGAGAATGAGAAATACGGGGACATGCAAGGTGTGAACTTTTCTTCTAATAATTTTCGAAGTAACGATAAATCCAACCTTGTCTTTTTAGCGGAAAGTAACGGTGCTATTTAGAGCACACGCTATATATATATATATATATATATATATATATTGGTAGTTGTGTTTGATGTTGATTTCAAGTAAAGGATGGATTAGATAAAGCTGAACAAATTAATAAAGCTCAATAAAATGACATTAACTTTATATTTTCCTCATTTATAAAAGTTAGGACTGATTAAATACTCGTATATGGTTGAGTTTGTTGGCAAAAAATTGATTAAAGTGCAAATTATTGGGGTTGGAGTGGGGGGGGGGATTAGAGGTGGAGTACTGTATGCACTTTTAGTCAGTAATTGTAGGGGAAGTTTGGAGACTGTTAGATTACAGATAAGTACAATATGAGTACAACGTGTATTCTCCACTTCTGTTGGCGCTTCAGCCTCTTATGTACCATTAGTTTAAGGTAACTGCTAGAAGTCATGAGTTTGATACTTGAATTCGCGCAATGTTAATGTTTGCTTTATGTGGTAATTAATTCTTCTCCTTTTAGATTAAGGCCGATAGTCTACAAATAACTCCCTCGCTTGTTCGAAGTGGGAACCAAATCCACACAGTTCACCACCAGTCGACCATTCTTTTGAACATCCGAGAAGGTCGCGATCTACGCCTACCTTCGGGGTGTTTTCAGAACTCATTTCTGGTTGTTCGAATCCCCTGGTGTACTAAAGAAGTCCGCGATGGAGATCATGTGTCTCGTAAAACGAAGCGCTTTACTTCCGCTGTTTCTTGGGGTACTGGGCCTTCGCCTGCCTATCATTTTGGCCTTAAGGCGTCAGCAGTTCTTTCAGAGGTGATGCTGCTATAGTTGCTTATTTTAACAACTAAATTCTAGACTGATTTGCGTTATTACTCAAAACGAAAAAAAATGAAATAAATTAGTGGAGATGATACATAAACAGTTGTTAAACAATAAGAGCCAATTGTGTAAAGCGTATAAGCTCCACAAGTGTATAATTTATTTTGAGATCAACGATTGCAATATTTAAAATCTTTTGCCACTTCCATTAGAATTGATTTTTCGTTTAATTTATTCTGTATAGGATCAACTAACTCGCTTATCGAAAAGCTTCATTGCAATTGAGGTATGGGTCCGGCACATGAACAGCGATGCAGAAAGGGATGAACTGATTGGAATTGCCAAGATTATGACAACTAGAACTTCCACCCTGTGTCGTTTAATTTCTTCCCGAAAGGAGTACAAGGATTCTCGCGTAAGCTAGAAGTCGTGCTTATTTGTACAAACCCCAAAGTCGCTCTGGTTTACTAAGTCCATGCAATCTCAAAAAATTGTAGCTCCCATTTCTTCAGGAAGATTCGTGGCTTGAAGTTACTTCCCCATCGACAGGTCAAGTTTGTGGTCAACTTCGAAGCCGATTTGCCGCCGGAACTACGGAGCAGATTTCAGCGTTAATGGCTGCTGACTGCGAAAATGCTGCTGTTGGATGTCTCGATTGGCGATCGATTGATTTTGTAACATGGAAGGAGTCAGATTCATCGGGCAAATGTGAAGATAATGAGTTCTCGAAATCGGAGGATTTGCTGACCCTGACCGGTTAGAATTACTTGGAACAAACATTCCTACTGTTTTTCCATTAGTAATACAATTTGTTTTGCATCTAGTAACTCACACTTTGGACATTATGCTAATTAAGTTAATTGACTTTCATCCGGAACTCTCGGAGATTTCGCATGCAAAGTTCGGTCCCAATGCGTTACTTGCCAGCGATTGTGACTGCTTTTTGCAATATAGAATTCCCGTTGGTAAGTACTCTATTAATCTAAACCTTATAGAAGAAACATTGGAGATCTGCTTTGAAGTATATCCAAGCACATTTAAAGTTCGTCAACAGAGTCATGCTAAGGCCTTGTAGTATATTAACACTGATGTTTAGGACATAAGAATTAGTAATTGTACTAATTTGACAACATCAAATCCCCGAGTCCGATGGCAGTGGGTTACATGATTGGAGCTTTAGTTAACATTGAACTAATAATGAAATTAAGGAAAACGTAAGGTTAACCAGAATCTTAATAAGGTTTAGTCCAGCCCACAGCAGGAGAAGCATCGATTTTATAGAACCTGTTTTGAAGCATAGGTAGGAGGTCCAGTAAGCTGCCAATTAAACTAAGGTCAAGCAAGTGGATGAAAATTGAATTCAGGCCGATTTAGTCAAGTTATTGTTTGTCTGAACGTTCTAAGGTCCAACGTTGACAAGGTGATGATGATTAAATAAGTTAAATATGTTATTCAAGATGAGTCAAAAGTGTAGATGCTTTTTTATGGAAGTGTGAAGAATTTTGTTGAATGTATTTCATTTACTGACCTGTGTTAATTTTAGATAAGCAGAATCAATCCTTAGTCTTCCGTAGTCCCATCTGCCAATTGATGTCACCCTCCACACATAATGATGCCCTCGAAGCTGTTTACCGCATAGACTATGTTGAGTTGGAAGGAGGCGTTAATGAAAGGGACGATGAAGACATTTCAAATGGTTATGAAGTTAAATGGCAGAATGGGAAAAACGATGGCTGGCACGAATCGCACAAATGCGTATTTGCAAGAGAGCTGATTAGAGAGCCGGACATTATCAAGCATATTAAAGAAGTTGGTAGCAACGCCTTTCTAGATTATTTGAGAAAAGGTAAATTGCATTTTCTCATAAATTAAATGATTTAAAATGCACAATTATGAGATAAATTAGAGCTTACCAAAGTACCTTTATATTTATTTATTTCAAATGGCAGGTGTTTTGATAGTTGTCATTAGCACTTTGGCTGACTTCGGGTTTCACAGGGAGAAGGAAGAACATCAAAGTGACAAAAAGTCTAGAGGGGGAAGGAATAATGATTCACAGATGTAAAAGAGACAGATAGACAGACACAAAAGCAGGGAAAAGGTAAGATGAGAACTGTGGTAGGGGTCAAATATGACATACAGTCGGGTCATGGTAGTTTGAAGTGAAAAGTCAACTGTCGGTTAATAGCCTTTTTGTCGTATGGGTATACGTAGCCCAGGGTAGACCACGTGGAGGTAAGTCTATCGCACACCCCATGTACCCAAAATTCGAAGTCTAGGGAGCGGCAAAAAAATTTCCATTCGCATTAACTACGCAAATGATGTTTTTTTTTTAAAGGGGAACTAATAGACACGAAGGGAGGGGGGGTGTGTGTGTCCCAGTTTAAAAAACAGGACACATAATCCTTTGCAAATCCACAGGCAGCCGAAAATATGACGACTGACATATTAATTTCCTCTTGATTATTGAAATTGTAAAATGAAGATACCTTAATTCTCTTACTCAAGTGTAATTGTATAACTAAGCCACTGCAGTCGTAAATTGCAAGGCTAAGTGGTTCGAAAGAAAATACGTTCATTAATGATAAAACCGTTTCTGGAAGTAGTCAAAGACAACAACAAAGAGAGTTAGTTAAACAAAGACGTGTTGTGGATGTCTCTGACGCTAAGTTTCCCTCCATTTAGATCAATTTTCTCAAGAAGATGGCATTGTATTTGAGCTATGGGTCCGTATCTATTCCCCTAAACTGCGAGATATCTGTGTCGCTCATGGTAAATTAACCTTGAATACTCTGGAACACCACCTCCTCCCACCATCTTCACTACACGCCGCGAATAAGGTCCCAAATTTCCCACTTACTTGGAAACGCGAACTATCTGAGCATAGTATGGATTTATACGGTATCAACACTCACAAACTTTTGGGACGAATATTACTCAACATTGGATATGAGTACTTCCTATTTTCCATTCATCACTGTTTTATTTCATTAGTTAATAGTTATTCTTTGTTATAGAATGGCGAGCACAGTTAAATATTCAGTGGATTTGAGCAGAAAAATAGGTGGAAAAGAGAAACTCTACAAGCTTCTACCTTTAACCATTCGTCCAGGAGTTCATTTAAATATTCATCTCCACAATTTGACAGGATTAGGAGTTTCCACTTCTCATCAAATTCGCCTTCATTGCCTACTTCTCTTACCTTCTAAAACCTCTCATTCCCACTATAAAGTGCTAGCCTCAAGTACATTGAAGCCTGAGCGGGTAGAGGAATTGGCCATGCGACTTAATGTCCTGCTTCCTCTAGCCTGGAACTATGAATCGTTCTTTAAATTTTCTCTTGCCGAAGCTCTGGCGTTTGGTGCGTTAGAAATAAATGACCGGCAATCGTGGCTTGTTGGTAATGTTACCCGACCTTGTCTTGTCATTCAAGTCGATGTCTGGGATATGGACAGTGATTTGGGTGAAAATCACAATGAAACTCAAAATGTTGCACGAAATCGATTTTGGGGTGAGTTTGGTCTGTTTGCGTTTTACTTGTCTAGAAAGGTTGTAATTGTCTTTATTCATGAAAGAGAATATAAATCGAGTGGTCTAAAGGGTACAAAACAGACTAGGCGACTTAAAATTAGGTAATAAAAGCAGATGCAGGAGCCACAGAACCAAAACTAGGTCGTAGAAACTAATGCAATACTTGGAAGCTGGCAAAAGGAAATAGTAGTTCCAAATAAGGTTATTTATTTATTTCAAATGGCAGGCGTTTTGATAGCTATCATTAGCCCTTTACTTGACTTCGGGCTTCACAGAGGGAAGGAACATCAAAGAAACAGAAAGTCGAGGGATGGGGAACAGAAGAGTGGTTTACAGTTGTAAAAGAGACAGACACAAAGGCAGAGAAAAGGTAGTATGATTACTGTGGAAGTGGTAGAATATGGCATCCAGTGGGGTTATGGTAGTTTAGAGTCAGAAGTCAACTGCCAATTAATAGACTTTTTTGCCGTATGAGTACACGTTGCCCAGGGTGAACCACGTGGAGGTAAGTCTATCGCACACCCCGTTCCAAATAAGGTAGAACACAGAGTTAGGTGAGTGGTGAACAATTTCCCCCATA